ATTGAAATTTTGGGATGATTCGTAACTCCACCAAGATATATGCAAAGTGGCAGTGGTGTGCACTTAAAATTGTAACAAGAAGAATGTTGGACACTAATTTTGAGCAAAAATATCTTTAGACACTCAAAATCAACTTCAAATATAGTTCAATCCTTAAGTTCAATTGAATACCTGTAGTATTGTTAACCTTTTGTCCATGATTGTTTAAGTATTGGAGGTGTTTTCCCTGTTGCACATTCCAAATTGGTAGGAAACTCATGGTTTCCCCCTAAAATATATATGTTCCCTCATTAGGAAGAGGATTCTAAATATCAGCTTGCTGAATTTTGGTGGCAGTTCGCTGTTCTTTCTAGCATCACCTACGTGGTTGTGTTGCAGTTGTTGGTGCTTATTTTGTTTGTAATGCTCTGTCCGGTCTTGTTGTGAATTGGATTTGTAGTTACCATTATATCATTGATCTTGATTCGCTTCCTTCCCGATGCTGTGCAGGGTCATCAGGAAATTGTTGAGATGGTAGTTGACCCGATTGGCATAACTTCCATAATGGAGGTTAGTGCATCTCTCTCTCTCGCCCCCCCCCCCACACAAACGTACATGGACCTATAAAAAGCTTTTGGTTCTTTTACCCTTTTTATTCTCTGCACTCATTTAATCGGGATTTCTTATGCATGTGGTTTATCTACCAAATTCAATGTTATCAGAGTATTTTTGTTTGGGATGAATTAAATAAAATTTGACCTTGGATTGCCACTTCTGACCCTACTGAGAGGATTTTAGTTAGCTTGTGAGAAAATTCTTTATTCAGCAGGTTTTAATACGTCTGATTGGTGCTGATGAGCATATGTACACTAACTACATGGAGTCAATGCAATGGATAGAGGATACAAATATATTGGAGTTTATTGTGGACAAGTTCAGCACTTTAAGTGCCTTTAACTGTTTGAGCATACCAAAATACGTACTTTTCTTCTACTTTGGTAAAATGTGGTTGTTACTTCTCTTCCTCACCTTTATGTGTGGGCTAGGTGGATGTTTTCTTTAACTTGTGCCCTGGCTTTATCTTCTCATTTTTATTTTTCCTTTTTTTTAGGATTTTATCTCTGATTTTGTCCAAGTATTTGACACTTTCTATTCCTTCCACAGTTCCACCCTTATGCAAGTGAGGAGCCTTAGGTTGAAAATATGTTAGCATCAAATAATGGCTTATATTTGAAGTGATAAAATGCGAACATTTTCTTGTCTTCTACTTCAGAGCACTTTTGGAACTACTAATGTATACTCACACTAAGATATGTTTGTAAAAATGCGCGGAAGAAATAACAAATTATTAAATCTTATTCTACTTCACATTTTTGACAGTATTTAAAACTTACTATTCCTTGTGTTGAATTTCATGTTCTATTCACGTAGTTCATATGTAGGAATACCAATTTAAGAATGATAGAGATGGTATGTGATTAAGGTGAAACTGTTCATTTTTATCAAGGGCATGTGATTAAGGTGTTATTTCATTTATTGTTTTTGAAATGTGGGTCTGTCTTCATTGAAATTTGTTAAAATGTATTTTACAGGATTCTGCTGAGGTACATGCAAATGCAGCTGAAACCTTATGCGCTATAACACGATTTGCTCCTCCTGGTCTTGCTGCCAAAATTTCAGGCCCAAAGTAAGTGTTGTTTTTCCCTCTCATTTTTTCTATTAGATTTGCTAAAAGTGTTCTCCGACTTGGCGACTTATAAATTATCTAATTCTGGTGTTTTTTTCCGGTGCTTTCTTGAAGTTTCATAGGAAGATTATTTCGTCATGCTTTGGAAGACTTGAGACCAAAATCTGTTTTGGTCAATTCCTTGACTGTCCATATATTTGTTAGATCCCAAGACTCTAACATTGGGTGTTTATCGCCCGTACAACCACCAAGTCTCTCAAGGTGCAACAATATCTGCAAACCCTAAGACAGTTGAAGGCATGCTGGAGAATTTAGGTGAATCCATCTCTTCTATTTACTATTAGCTGCATGACAAAATCCTTTTGCAGACTCACCTTGTTCGTAGTTGGAAAATGAATTAACTGAATAGGTTACAGTGGCTTTATTTTCATAGCATATGATTTCTTGTTATATGTATATTCCACTTAGAGTTACTCTTTTGAAGCATATTCTCAACTACTAGAGGGAAAGGAAGAAAAAGCATCTGCATCCCACTATTTCCTCATGACATAGGAATCACTGGAAAAAATTAGGGACTTGGTATGACACAATTTGGAAAAGCTGATATGAAAAGCTTTAAAAAATTAGGATAGAATACCGTGGGATACAGCAATAAAAAATTGTTTCATTAATTTAGATAAAAATACAAGTAATTTGCAACAAAAAATTGTATATGAACTTTTCAATTGTATGCTTATTCTTGTAGTTGTATTGCATATTCAATTTAATCTAATCCACAACACAGCTTCTCTTTCCAATCAAGGATTACTACAGTTTATTGTCCTTTTCACTGCCATGCCCTTCCATTTCTCGGATCTGTCCCTTTATGTCAGATATGTATCTGAATGTGTCAGATGCTTATCTCTTCCGGAAACAAATATGGCTTGTAGCCTTGTACTTTGGGGATTCTGACCTGTCTGTTCTTCATAATTTATTAAGATGCTTAAGTAGTTCATTTTGACTGAACTTATACATCAATGTTATCTCACAGGAGAACTAATAAATCATGTCAACATGCTGCAGGTAATTTGCTGAAGCTTTTGGATATTTCATCATCAGAGACAACCTTATTAACAACTTATGGAAAGTTACAGCCCCCAATTGGGAAACACCGTTTAAAGTTACTTTGTTTTTAAAGTTACTTTTTCTGTGGATTTTGAGGATTGAATCTTTCTTTTCCTTTTTGGTTCCTGCATGACTCAGCTTTAGCTGATGGGAACTTCATAATTTCTATACCAATCCTCTTACGGGTCTATTCATGGATCACTAATTGCACAACAAGAAACCTGATGGGATTATTTATAATTTACATGTGATTCTCCAGATTGTAGAGCTTATTTCAGTCTTGCTGATGGTTGGAAGTGAAGCTGCTGAAAAGGAATTGATTCAACTAGGTGCTGTGCAAAGAATTCTGAACTTATTCTTTGAGTAAGTTTAAGATTCCTTCTGTTCAGTGATATGTTTGCCGATTGGATCCTATTTTTCATTCCTTCTGGTTCTGTATGCAGGTATCCATACAACAATTTCTTACATCATCTTGTGGAGAACATAATATTGTCATGTTTAGAGAGCAAAAATGTTCCACTTGTAGAAAATCTTCTTCGTGAATGTAACCTTTTGGGAAAAAATACTTGAATCCGAAAAGAATTGCATGTTAGCTTCTGATCCAAATATGGTAGTTATCCCATCTTATTGGAGGAGCTGTTCTGTAGCCTATTCTTTTGTTCTACATTTTTATTGTTTGAACTTGTTAATTTTTACCTTCTGCCCGCTCTCATCTTTATTTTAATGCTGAACTGGTTTTTGGTTTTCCTTTGGTCCAATCTCCTGCAGCCAACAGTTAGTGCTGAAGGTAGAGCACCACCGAAGATAGGGAATATTGGTCACTTGACTCGTATATGTAACAAACTTGTTCAGCTTGGAAATAGCAATGGTGAAATTCAGGCATATCTACAGGTTTTAAATCTTTCCTACAGCCTTCATTTCATTTTCTTAGTTACTTTTCACTTTTCGGTGTTATGTGTAGTTTTGCAATTTACAACACTTAATTGAACTTGAAATGTCTTAAATTTCTGATTTGAGAATCAGAAGCAGACCTTGATTTCTCCTATTGAGTGATATTTAACATCCGATCTATTCAATAAGAATTCTGCATTTGCATTTGATTTTGGGACGAACATTAATCATCCATAATCAGGAGTTGCATGAAATGTAGAACTATAAACAATATTTAGGTTAAGAACTTTCTATCAGCTGAGGACAAAGAAATGGGATTCTGAAACAAAATACATACCAAATTGCAAACCTCCAGAAAAATATGAGAAATTTTTTCATGAAATTATAATTATGGAAGTGCTAAAAAACTGATGTAATAGGTAACTTTTTATGTATAAAGGAAAAAGAGTTACCATTTTACTTTAACACTGTCGCCGGTAGAAAAAGTTATTGTCAACTTTGAAAAAGCTCAAGTATTGGGAGATAGCCTTCTCCCATGTCATTAACTCCTCTCGTTTACCCTAGCTTTGAACCTGGAGATCTCCAAGTTCTAAACTCTGGGCTGATCTAAGAGGAAAACCGAAAAGTTTTATCAATTGCTACCAGAATACCAGATGCAAAATGTTTTTTCCCGTTTCAATGGCCTTGTTCTTAATTGCTTTTCTTTGACAGGAAAATAGTGAATGGATTGATTGGCAGAAGAATGTTCTATCAAAGCGTAATGTTATTGAAAATGTGTACCAGTGGGCTTGAGGGTATGTCATCTTTCTCTGACTGTTGTTTTATTTCACATTTATGCGGATGTCATCTACAATTGCCATTTCTGTATGAATTGAAATTTTCAGCATGACTGAACTAAAATTCTGCAAGGTAGAACCTTGATATCGCCATTGTCCCTATGGCTGTGTTGATCCCCATTGACATAAATGTATAACCTGCTAAATGGTCACTTACTATAGTTGGAGAAGGGTGATAGTATTGTAGTAGAACGGTTCTGCAATATTATCAATAAACACTATTGTTTTGAAATGGCATGGATGAAGGTTAATGAAATTAAACAAGCTAGAAGAACGGTTATTAATTTATTGGTTGGAGATCAATATAATGTTGGATTTGAAAATAATTTTTGCATAAGCCTTATTTTTCTGGTCAGTATCCCTATGCAAGTTGTTCATGATGGCAAACTTATTTGTCTGAATTGTTAGGAGCTTTGAAATTCTTCGGTTGCTCCATTAGCCTATATTTAGAACTTACTCTCTTATAATGAGTCGGTTGAGGGGCAAGTTATATATAGAATTAGAAGTGTAAACAGATGGTACGAGAGAAGAAAAAGCATGGGTGATGTATGTATACACATATGGAGTCCTATTTTCAACTCTAAAATAGAATGATTCTTTGAACCCTTAAACTGAATTTTGAAAGCTTTTTGAAATGTTAAAATGTTTTAGGTACACTGATTATTAATCTTTCTGAGCAGTGTATATTTGTTCTGGATAATTATTACATTTGTTTTAATGTAGTCACTTGGGTGTGTTCTTGGTCGGTTTTCTTTATCGCTGGATGGTTATAAATGAACTCTTGTGAAGTTATGATCTGCTTAGGATATTGGTTTTAATATTTTTATCACTGAACGACTTGCCTTTCTTTTTAAAATCAATCACCAAACCTGGAAACATGAATGATTTTGAGTGTTGGGCATGATTTTGGATGAGTCTTTTCAACTTGAATTGTTGATTTGCAAGCCAAAAAATGGAGACACTGAAAGGAAAATGCATAGAAAGATTCTTCAAGTTGTTACCTGCTAACTCTTTTGTTTGATATATTATTTATGACATTTCTTCTCTCCGAGTTTTATTTGGTTTGATCAATTTTAACAGAAGGCCGACTACATTACAAGACAGGAGAGATAGTGATGATTACCAGAATAGGGATTATGATGTTACAGCCTTGGCAAATAACTTAAGCCAGGCATTTTATATGGCATTGAGGGGTGTTTGGTTCAGGTAATCTGGAATTATCGGGGAATGAAATCTCATTCTCTCGTTTGGTTGGCCAACATTCTCAGCCCCGACAATCTTTTATTACTAACAATGGTATTTTGGGGTATATTATCGGGAATGTGATTACCTATTCCCTTAGGTATTGTAGGATTACCGGCTTTTTGGACTAAAATGCCCTTAATTTTTTTCCTCAAAAATATCATTCTTCTATCGTTGAATAATAAAATTCTACGAAGGTTAAATTACAAATTTATTATTAAACTATTTTAGATTTACAAAAAAATCCATAATTATATGAAGTTCAGGGGTTAAAATAAAATTTTACCCTTTCATTAAACCTATTTATCTTTTTCAATTTTGTAAAAAAAATTAAAATTTTATGAATTTAAAATTTTTAAAGAAATATATAAATTAATATAATATTATAGTAGAATTCAACTTGTTAAAAAACAAATATATAATAAGGACAATTTGGTAAAATATATATTCCAATAATATTTTATTCTTTTAACCAAACACCGTAATTTTACATTCCTGCTAAACGAACCAAACAAAAAATACAACATTCTCAGTAATCTTATTCACGCCGGTAATCCTATTTCCACTGATAATCTTATATTTCGTAAACTAAACGCACCTTTTTAGTAATGTTGATACCCTTTAGTGACAACTTGGACGAAAAACAAAACTTGAATCAAAATAAAAGTAATCTAGCTTACCTTAACGAGTTGTTTACGCAAACAACGATGACAACAACGATTCGATCGAAAGAGAAAGATAAAATCGACAGCAACAGAGCGTCGATGAGAGAATCAGAGCTTATTTTAAAAAATAGGATTTTATAAATTGAGATTACTATTTGAACTAATTATATAAAAACAAATATTAAAAAAAATTAAATTAAAATTGTGATTTATTTAAAAGTACGATTACATTTTTAGCTAAAATATAATTATACGTTGAGTACCTTATATTTTTAGTGTTTTACAATTTAATTTATTGGTATTTGTCGTCGTTTGTCGAGCGCTATAGAATTTTCTTTTTTTAAATTTGAACGTGACACATGTTACTTAACAATTTTTTAGCGGTAGACACCTAAAAGTGTAAGAAAAAATATTAGGCACATATTTTTAATGAAAACTCTTTATACACTAGAAGTCAATTTTAGATATAATTTAGACATTTATTTTTATATTAAATTTAAATTTGAGGTTATATCATTTTTGTTGAAAATTTTCATTAAAAAGTATATTTTATATCTGAAAATAAATATTTTAAAATTTACTCATACTTTCTTAACAAATAATCACTAGCTAAATTATTTGATTTGGTTTGATTTTTTTGAAGTATAAAAATATGTAAATCATAGTATTTAATTGGAAATTTAATAAAAATAATTACCTTAATAGTTAAATATTACTTGTTAGGTACCATTTCTCCAAATATTATCGATCTAACACATTTTTTATGACAAAGCGTGGATCTTGAGGTGCGTCTTTTTAAGGTTTTGTTTAACTTGCACTACGGTCGGGCATCATAATCCAAGCCTTCGTGGGGTTCTATCCGAGCTAGCACCACGGTGGTAAAACACGTATTTGCTAGGAATCAGACACGTGGCGGAAGACGCATATCCTAATCAGTGTCTTGCATTTAAATCCAATTGTCCCGCCTTAAATATCGCCCAACCCCCTGCCCCTATAAATACCCCCTCATCCAACACCATACCACACAAAAAAACACTCTATTTATTCCCTCTATATATCGTTATATCAAGTTTTAAGTAAATATAGTTATCATTTTTAGAAGCTATATTTTTTATTATATTATAATCATTTAATAGTTTATTATTTTATTATATTTTATTGTATTAATTTTTTATTACTTTTTGTAGTTACAAAATGGCAGGTCGATTGCTGCTTTAGATGATAATCATATATCAAGTCATTTTGCCAATACAATAATAATTTTAAATTATGTTATTTTATTTATTGTGAATGTTTTATTCATTTTTTTAGCATTAGTTTATATTTTAATTTGTATACTATTTATTTAATTAGTTATTCGTCATGCTAAATTAGAGATATCAAGTCGTATCTGACCGTATTTACCTGAGGCTAAATTCAGTTACATAGCGAAATATGAAGGGCACTGTAATCTTAAATCCAACCTTCTTTCTGCACTGACTGAGAGGTAGAGACCAGAGACACACACATTTTATCTTCTGTGTGGGGAGTGCACTACTACGCTGGAAGATGTTTCCTTATATTTGGGGCTTTCGGTAGATGGGGATGTTATTTTGGTGTGGCGGATGGTGATTGTTATTCCTTGTACGATGAGTATCTTGAAGGTATCCCGCTTAATTTCAACGGTGGTCAAATATTGTTATCATGGTTGGTTAGAAATTTCTAATGGTTGAGCAATGATTGTTTTGAGGAACATGCTCAAATATTTTCTCAGGCTTGCATATTGCAACTCATATAATGGATCTTGATGCCCGATAAATCTCGCAACCAAGTTCATTGTATGTGGTTGCATCATATGCAGATTTTCGAGTTGCCAGCTCATTCATTTGGGCTATACGATTTTGGCATCTATGTGTAGAGAAATATATTGAGCAACTGATAATAAAAAAATGCTATCGGCGGATGTCTCCTTCTTCTGCAATCACGAGCGTGGTAGCGCATGCCCTTTTTATGTCCGGTCGTGAAAAACCCGTTAGTCTTCCCGTTATTGTTGAGGTAATTTCAATACTGAGTTTGTATATAAATAGTTTTTTTAGTATATAATGAATTTTTTTACACTGAATAGGTGGTCAACTATAAGGAAAGATCATTGTAATATATCGAACAAATTGGAAGAAATTCGGATACTTATTGATCAAAAGGCTAGTACAAAGGTATGTTTTTATATTTTATTTTTTACCTTTAATTATCTTTATATAATTAGAATATTATTTTGATAAGAATTGTATATATTTGTTTTAATTACAATGGACTCCTTATTCTACTAAAGAAATGAGACGTTGTATCTCACCTCACTTGAGTGACCCATTAGATGTATGGATGGAGGTGATCCATCTGATAAGTTATGCTATGGTCGAGTGGCTCCTATTGATCATGTGCTCCGCCAATTTGGTTTTGTACAATCTATTCTTGAAGCACCTAGGAATCTCGACAATATGCATAACATCGATAGACGAGGCAAAAAAGAAGTCAACTGGCTGATAAAGCACATCGAGTGGGTAATGATCTGGGAGGACCAACGTGGACTCATTCCCTGTAAGGAGTCGATTTATGTGGATCATTATTCGGTTTTAGATGAATATTATCAGTGGTTCAACATGAATGGAAGTCGTGTTTACTTTCCGAAGAAGCACGAGGCAGAAGCATTCGTCGACGTCAAGAAAAACGTCCATCGTCACAGCATCATCGTCCCCCGACTCGTCGATGAAGAACATACGCTTCCGACTCATCCTCAGTTGTAGCACCAGAACCATCACAGTAGCCACGATTTATATTCCACAACCTTTTCATATGCCACCGTAGCCATTTCAGATGCTACCACCGCAAGGTTTTATGATACCTCATGACGGATATACTCTCATTCTTTTAGATCCAACGTGTTTTCATATGCTGCTTATTTGGCGGGTAATGCTTCACCATAAACACAGACATTTTCAGCTCAGCTTTCGCATTCATCGATGTAGATGTTTTCACAATTTTTGCAGTTTTCTATGAGCAATGGGATGGTTAGTCTTACACCTCCAGGGTTCTTATTCTATAGAGGTGTTACATTGTCATTCGTCCCTCATCAACAAAATGTAGTTGTTACTGCTGTTGCTGATGATGATGAGAATGAGGAGGAAGAGCAACTTATATAAAAAATCCTCATCGAAATAGACAGTCACCGCTTTGTGGAACACATCAAGACGCAGACATCGATAGACTTGTTTTTTTATTTATTTGTTTCTTAATGTTTTTATTTAATTATGGACTTTTTTTCTTAATGATTTCATTTAATTATGTATTTTTTATTTATTTATTTGTTTCTTGATGTTTGTATTTAATTATGGACTTTTTATTTATTTTGTTTCTTAATTTTTTATTATTCAATTGTTTGAATTGTAGCATTTGTATTTAATGTTTGTATTTAATTGTTTTTATTATTTAGTTTGTAATGTTTTTAATTAATTTTCACTTGAGTAACACATTAAGGAAAAGTAAACGAAAATGAAATAACACAAATTGAGGCTTCATAAACAACAATCACATCGTCACAGCATCAACGGTTACGTGATAATAAAA